CACAAGCAGGGGGAGTGGCAGAGAGAGAAGCAGGCTCCCTGCTGAGCAAGGAGCCCGATGTGGGACTCGATCCAGGACTTGGGATCATGACCTGAGCTGAAGGCAGACGCTTAACCAACTGAGCCACCCAGATGTCCCTAACTTCTATTTTTAATTTTCTTTTCAGAGCCAATTTAAACATATTCGCAACAGCTTTATTCATATTAGCCCCAAACTGGAAACAATTCAAATGTCCATCACAGGTGAATGGATAAACAAGTTCTAATACATTCCTACAATAAATGAACACGTCAGAAAAAAAAAAAAGAGGGCACAAACTAGTGATCTTTGTGTTACTATGGAAGAATTTCAAAGCATCCAGTAGAGTGAAAAAACCCAGAGGCAAGTGACTATAGTATATCCTCTATGATAATATTTATGTGAAGTCCTGAAGCAGCCAAATGCAAGTTACAGGGCTAGAAATCAGAACAGTGGAAGGGAAATGGGGAGTCGGGCAGACACTGGCAAGGGACACAAAGGTTGACGGTTAGCCAGTTATGTACATTTGTTAAAACTCAAACACCACACTTAAAATCTGTGTATTTACTGTATGGAAAGTACACTCCAATTTAAAAAGTTGCACAGTTATCTGGTCAGCCACAGGAATCTTATTTCCTGTTTCTGGGCTCTTGGGACACAGGCGGTAATAACTATCAATGAGAGACTTTCACAAAACATTAAGATAAACTGTTAGATAATGATGGTTAAGTATAGATTCCCTAAGCCTGCAAAACCAGACCCGTCTTATAGGTCAAAAAAAAAAAAAAAAAGTGCATTTAAAAATATACACTGAAGCTAACAGATCTAACAAAATATTTATTTTATTGCTGTAAAATTAAAAATAGTAGACAAGCATCATAGTTACAGTTCCAAGGCAGAATACAAATACATAAATTATTGCAGTTTTAAAAGAAAAAATTGCCAATGTCTAAAACTCTTTTAAAACCAACTTGTTTTTCACCACTGCAGTTTCATTTTCTTTTTCCAAAGACCCTAGCACAATTCTGTAAAGTAAATTTCTAACAGCAAAGAGAGATCAAGTTCAATGACCACAGTATATGCTACTCAGATTTAAAACAAGGTTAACACACACATACAAACCATAAAAGTAGAGATGATGGCATTTAACAGAAATCACAATGGAACACTTTCTAAACTCTTTTGGAGACAGCAGAATGGAAATAAATATTCTACATGTTTCAAGAAAAACACATTTACTAAAATTCCTTTGGAGGGGTGTGCAGTTGAGGGATGTTCAACGAACACTTTTTTGGGGGGCGAGGGCTCAATATTCATCTTCATGATTTTTTGGTTTTACTTTGGTAAGCTTAAAATCGTGTACTAATTCAGTATGCATTAGTAATTTGAACTCTTTTTAAACTAAAAAGAATAGGGAATGTATACATTACAAACTAGGTGCTAAAAAAATCTTAGTGCTAGGGACTTGTTATGATTGGTTCATAGCAAGGTGACCAAATTGCTAAAGGAGTTAGATTAAATTATAACAAGAGCAATTAGGAAGGGATGAAGTGAATGCAGACACTGACGTGTAGGACAAAACCTCATTATTCCACAGTATGAGAACCCTCCTCCAAGATCCCTTTGCTTGTGCCAGAGCCCTAGTACCTTATTATTCTGCTAAATAAACTCTTTCCCACCCCACCACCACAAAACTTAATGTGGCAAGAATAACCTGTTGAAGGTTTTATCTTTTACTGATTCTCACCACAAATTTCCTCAAGTAATTATTTCCACCAACCCAAAGTTAAAAATACAATTAAACACTGAAATGAAAATCAACTGCCCTTGCTTTACAGCTGCATCTGAACAAAAGATCTTTAAAAAGTTCATAGAGTAATAAACTTTTTATTAAGTACTTAAAAATACTCAAGATATCTTACTTTAGCATAAGCAATATCTCAGTAAATCAGAAAAAAACACTATAAGAACTTTACATTGTACCATTTGAAAATTTTCATGTCACAACCTAATTTTAAGGTCACCAACTGAACCTCCTTCTAAGCTACACAAATAATTTCTTTAAAAGTTCTTAAGTTTAGAGCATATACATTTTGAATTGCATTTTACAATATTTAATAACACAAGCAGATTTCTTCTAAAACAAAACAAACCAAAATAAAACCAAAACTGGTAAACATCAACACACACAAATAGATCTTCAAAAATTAATTTAAAAAAACCCAGCAAAAACTGACAACCTTCAACAGTGTAAACACCAAGGTAAAAATATGTATCAACAAAACAAGTACTTTAAAACCATTTTCAGTGGTAAAGAATGTGATCAGATGAAAAACCCAAGAAATTTCAAGATGCCTGTCGAGATCCCAACAAAATAGAATATATTTTGACTATATTTTTGAAATCACTTCCCAACATGAATTTATTTTAAAAATAATTCTCAAGTGTATACAAAAATGGGCACTTTGTGGTGAAATGAGCATAAAATTTGAAGAACTAAGAACATTTCTTTGCTCCAATATCTAAGGAACTACATGATGGAACAAAACGCCACTATTCTGCTCTCTGCATCACCTGTTACTGGGTCCTAAGTGCATGCCTTATTTTTTTCCTTAAAGAAAAAAAAAAAAAGACTAATTTGGATATTAAATGCTACGATCAAAGGAAGACAATCTCAAATTAGAATAGATTTTTAGCTTAATTAAAAGTCTGAACAAATTTGAAAACTTTAATCTTGAAAGTGAATAGTCTCGTGTGATCAAAATTGCTTTTGACTTCAAATTGATTTTTTTAAACTCAGTTTGTCTAATTATGAAATCAAACATGAAAAAACATTAGTCTTATTTCACTCCCCTTAATCATATAAGCTCTGAAAATGTTAGTAACAGCTGATAGGCAGTCTTCTCCCTTTTGCTGTTTCTGAAACTGATGGCATGTATGAGATTTTCTTCTAAACTTCCTCAAAAAGTACTAACAACTATACAGAAGAATAGCCAAGTATGGTAACCAATATTTGTAGTATTTCATCTTCTCTCAAGATGGAACTTCATTCTGTCCCTTATTCTTATTTTAGCATATAAAATAATTGCATATTCAATCAAGAAAACTAACATAGGAATCAGTTTACCAAATAGTTGGATAAACTGCTGTACAAAATCCTTCAAGAAAAAATTCTTTTACTACAATATTCATCCAAATAAAGTACTAATGTGAGTACCAGCACCACAGATATTTTTTTTTACAGCACCGTTCAAGAGCTTAGGCAGAAATATCTAAATGGAATAAATCAGAATCCCGAATTATAAGACCTTAGTACATGCACCATCCCACCCAATTAGTAAAGCTACATATTTGCCAGAAACAAAGCAAACACTTTTCTTTGGATTAACGCTGTTGCATTTAGGACTGCACCATATGGCTCATACTCTGGAAATATGCTACTACTGATATCAAATGCAACACATCCCAAACTTTTATGACTGTCCCTAAGTGATCTAAATAGAAGCACAAACGTGTGCAAACACACTGGCTAGTAACATTCTTGATGAATTATGCCAAAAAAGAGCAAAGTCAAAATAAAAAATGTGACCTAACAACTAAGCACTTACTAAGATATTCACTGGCATCATCAGGAAATGTCTTTATTCAACTTATAAAGTAAATTTATAAAGATTTTGATATTGCACACATTCAGTTTAAAGCTTATCAAAACTAAGGCAATGCATCCCCACTCCCTGGATTTTAAATTCATTTTGGATGACTCAAAAAATTGACAGAAATTGAAAACATTTTTCAAAAGCTCCAAAACCAGTTATGTCATACTTAAATCAACTGCGGTTATCAATTAATACTCTCAGGCAAATTTAACACATCTTAGCATTACAAAAAGTTGTTTTCTACTAGATAGAGGCATTTCTTTGCTTAGTCAAATACTGTTCGTGTGTTCAAGACTCAAATCTGACCCACGCGGGGGCAGGCTGCCAGATTTAAGACAGAAGTCATTCATATCTTTATGCACGAAGCTGCCAAGCTAATGGGCTTTTCTGCAGATTCTTTCAAGCAAAGGATCTTACCTCATAAATACATTCTAAGTACCAACTAAAAACAGAATTTAGAGCCCATTTTAATTCTGCACTGGTTATAGATTTTACTATGTAATACACTGTTAAAAAACGTATCTAGCTGTTCGAGATGACCTACTAGTTCAAAATTCTTTGGCAACATCACAGGCAACTTCCAAGAATATCCTTTAGAAATGGGCTTATTTTTTTGAACTAGAGTCTTACTTTTCTGTGTCAAGCAGTCTTCTCTTTCCTCCTTTAAATTTTAAAGTTTAGAAAAATACCTCACAATGCCTTCTTTGGGTACAAATTTCAGTGATGCTGCTAAGAGAATTTGGACAGTTTAAGGATTCTTGAACCTGTATCTGAAGCGGCAAACAGAAGAATTTGAAGCTTTTTTCAAAGATCGGACAACAATTTTGCAGCACATTCAATTTGACAGATATTACGTTTGACTTGGAAGTGAGGCTTGACTTACTCTGTCCAAATTCTAACACATCGAAGTCATTAGAATGAAAATAATAATGAAGTAGAAGAGGCTTTTACTTCTATGGAGACAAGGTGACATATGAAAACTAGATTAGCATTTTCTTCCTGAACTCAGAACTGCTTTTGTTAGAAAAAAATAATGTACTTTTTTTTCCTTGGATACTTGCTTTAAAAAGTTATTAATTCCTCTTTCATATAAGAGTTATTAGAAGTCAAAACAATTCAACTAGATAGAGATCTACTCTAAAATACATTTATCTTTGGAAAACAAGATAATAGTAAAAAGAACATATTAAGAGAATAAAATGCAGGGATCTGAAATATGGATGAACATATTCACACAGGAAAGTGTAAATATAATATACAGAGGCATTCAAATACACATTTATAAAGAGAATGGAAAGGTACCTAAAATAGCATTTTTATATATAAAATTTTCATATTAAAATATTGCTCATAATAAATAAGAGGTGTATTATGAATTCCATTTCCCTCTTAAAATTATCTTTAGTAGTTCAGACTAATCTAAGGAGTTTTAAATTTTCTACTGTTTTGACAGGTGAATTACATTAAAATATGTTTAATAAAATCACACTGTAACAGTAGTCACATGTGGTAAGTTAGGGAGGGCCATTTAGTAATTATGGGAAGAAAGATTCCCAAAATGAACCAAAATGATTAATCCTAGAAGACTAGAGCGTAACGATCTGCTTTATTTGACGAAGATGTTAGATACTGCCTTCAGCTTTGCAAATTTAATGACCATAAAAAAAATGGACCACAACTTTCTTCAACTCCTTCAAAATTGGCATGTCTGGCAGACCAATAAATGGTAGGGGCATGAGGGCAAAGGACGTAAGTGTAAGTTTAGTTTAATTGTTTATGGGTAGGTGTGACTTCGTTCCTGTTCGCCCCACTTGCAGACATGGTAACTTGGAATAGTTCTTGAGAAGCTGTTCGATGGCAACGTGGCGGACGTGGAGCTCTGAGGCCAAAGAATCTTTTTCTTGCACTTGGTGTGTTAACTCTTCAAAAACTTCTGTAAAGATTTAAAAGGTAGTTGAATACATAAATGGGTTCAATCAGTATCTACAATGGCTTATGGACAGGAAGTGCCCATTAATATCTAGGTCTGGAAACCCCTCTAAGAGGCTTTGGAATCAGACTACCTTCATTTCTGAATTCTTGTTCCTACGCTTTTATGAGTCTCAGGCAAGTAACTTAAACTACATTTTCATTTCCTCTTATGTATAACCTCGATATTGACAGTAAGCACCTCACAGGCCTACGGTGAGGAGTAAATGAGATCATACCTGTAAAGTACTTTCCACAGAATAAGCACTTGATAAACAGAAGCTGCTATTACTATTATTATTGTTACACTGGCTGTGGAATTAAGGAAGGGGTTATGTAATCCTTAATCTGTTATTAACCGAATGCGTGATCTCCAAAAGCACCTTAATGTCTCTGAAGTGTTTCCTCACCTAAATGGGAATCAAGTACTTTAAAAAAAAAAGGAAACAATTGGGGAATTTGAGCATTAACTGTTGTTAGTGTTAGCATACTATTTGATGATGTCAGAAGAATTACGAGCTGTTTTTCTTTTTTTTAAGGTGTGATAATGAAGTTGTGATTACCTTAAAAAAAAGTTATGTTTTAGAGAAAACCCTGAAGTATTTGTGGACAAACAATATGTTGTCTGGAATCTGTTTCAGAATAATCCAGCTGGGGGTGGGGGTGAGGTGAAAGGAATGGGTGCAAGTAGAGATGAGAGAAAATTAGCTATGCTTTTGATAATAAGTTGAAGCTGGTGAAGATGGGTCAAGGGGTTCACTATACTATTCTCACTACTTTTGTGCTTGAAAGTGTTTATAATTTAAAAAACTCCACAAAACAGGGCTAATACAACCTTGTGGAACTGTCAGGGAGTGCACGCCCAGGTGCCTGGCATAATAAACTGTTAGGATGAGGTAGAGCTCTCCATTTTTACTGCAACAAGAAAAACTTATTTCCTCTTGATTTCATAAAGATGTTGTTTTCTTATTCTTTTTGCACTGGAAACTCCAATAGGTTCTAATCCCATTTCCAAATTTAAATGCAGATAAAGCTAATAGTGTTCTGTCACAGGGGATTTTCTGTATCAACATTTTCACAAGCATAAAACATTGACACTGATTCTTTACCCTGTATTTCCTGTCGGAGCTTTGCTTTCAGTTGCTTTACCTCACCAAGAGTCATCGAATTCACTGAAACATGAAAATATGTTAATTATTACCACAATAACATGGGAAAATAAACCATCTACATCACTAAAACAATATTCTATTTTTATTTTTTTTTAAAGATTTTATTTATTTATTTGACAGAGAGAGACACAGCGAGAGAGGGAACACAAGCAGGGGGAGTGTGAGAGGGAGAAGCAGGCTTCCCGCTGAGCAGGGAGCCTGATGCAGGGCTCAATGTGGGACTCAATCCCAGGACCCTGGGATCATGACCTGAGCTGAAGGCAGACGCTTAATGACTGAGCCACCCAGGCGCCCCTAATTATTTTTTTAAAGATTTTATTTATTTATTTGACAGAGACACAGCGAGAGAGGGAACACAAGCAGGGGGAGTGGGAAAGGGAGAAACAGGCTCCCCGCGGAGCAGGGAGCCCGATACGGGGCTCGATCCCAGGACCCTGGGATCATGACCTGAGCCGAAGGCAGACGCTCAACGACTGAGCCACCCAGGCGCCCCCAATATTCTATTTTTAAAAAAACACTGGCACTTATCTGTCAATATAGTATTCACCAATATTCTAGGACTCATTCATTAACTCCTGCAGGGTAGAGGACATTTTCAAATCCTAACCGCAACCCACAGTAAGAAACATTTTACACCAGTACACCTCCCAGTACACCTCCACCTGAATCAAAAGTTTTGCCAGAGAATACTTAGTATTACATCCATTGGATTCTCTTGTTTCCCTTTGTTTCAGTTTTTAAAAAGTGCTAGAAGTCACTACTCATTAAGTTGATTATACTTAAGCACTACATAATTCATGATGCACAGTGGGAAAGAAACAAAAGTACTGTGGAAATAATCTGAAAAACTGATTTGTCTACCTTGTTATGTAACCTTAGATAATTCATATGTAGAATCAAGAAGTTGTATAAAAATACACCCATAGTCCCTTCGAGCTCTAAAATCACTTGACTTAGAGTCAATTAAAATTATCTCAGCTTCTGTGAGTTTTTGCAGAAATAAATGCAAACTGAAAGGCTCACTTTTTCCAACTTTAAAATAAGTGCACACATTACCTCTGTTCTTTAGTGAAATGTCAGATTTTGGCTTTTGAAATGCCACCCCCAGTCAATCAGTGTTGTAGGGATGAGGAATGGGACAGTGTGTGTTAGCCAATGCTTGAAGACGTACTTCTAAACTATATGAACTCTGAACTTTCTTCTGTTTGTCAATTCCATTAGTTTAATAAATTTAAAATGGCAAAAGATATGATGGACTGTAGAATTCGAATGCTTTACGACATAATGAGGAGTATTTCAGAGAACTGATGGAAAATTTTTTGGGGGGGAGGAGGGGAAAGGGCAGAGGGAGAGAATCTTTTTGGGGGGGGCGGGGTGGAGAGACAGACTCTAAAGCAGGCTCCATGCCCAACATGGGCCTGACACAGGGTTCCATCTCACACCCTGAGATCATGACCTGAGCTGAAATCAAGAGTCAGATGCTTAACCAACTGTGCCACCCAGGCGCCCCAAGACATCTCATTTTTGCTAGGGTGATCCGGTCATTTAAATATGCTATAAAAATCTGTAATTCTACAGCCAAATTCTTGACATATCACATATATAAAAAATGTAAAAAAACCAAAGCCAACAAAACTGCAATCTTTACCTTTCTCCCCATTTTACTTACATTCCTCTCTGCTGTAACGTGGATGCTGGACCCGGACATTAGCCTCTGGATTAGAGATTATCTCTTCTTTTTTCTGTGGCTGGTTGTGACTATGAGGCCACAATACACTATTGTGGCATAAAGTGGCACCTGAATCTTGCAACATAGCAAGCCCAAAGTCTGTATTTCCCCTCTGCTCCAATATTCTTTGTGAACAGTTCGAGAGACCGCCTATACTTCCATCTATCCACTTTGCAGAATACTTTGGTACCTGGGAGTCAAACTGTGGGAGTAACTTTTTATCTGGCTTATGCCTGAAATTTAACAAGTGATGCTGGGGATTTTTAGAACATTCGGAATCAGAATCCAGATCCTTATTTTGTGCATACTGTACAATCCAGTTTATCTTCTTACTCAAAATGGTTTTAACTTCTTCATAAGTACTTTTTGAAAGTTTTGATCGAGGACAATCCTGGTTTGCAATCAAATGGTATTTTTCAAAGCAGTCTTTATGGCCCCTTAACGATTTGGTGTGCAAGAGATTCGATTTTGGTACTCCTATAGGAAAAAAAAAAGAAACAGAAGACTTAAACAGTTTGTTTTTTTTAAAAGTTGCAGTAAGAGTATACAAAAATCTTAGTAAAATGCGGATGTCAGTCTGTGGTGGTTTGTAAATTAGAGGAAAAATGCTAAAGAATATTGGTGTTAATAATATAAAATATAGTCTAATAATTTCTGCTTTAATTGAACTACATATTCAGTAAAACTAAGTTCTTATAAATAATAAAGGCCTTTCCAAGGACGTTGGTCTAGAGGCCTGTTATTGCATACAATTTTAAAAAAGTACTACTAAACCAGCAATTTACATTTACAAAATGTTGGCCTTTACAGTATAGTGCTTTCTTCACTAATCCTCCTGAAGTACACACTTGCAAAAATTTCTGTTATAAGGCTCAAGAAGAGAAATGCTTGACAATTTTTTTTTCCTAATAAATACGTAGTCAATCATGTTCTTAAATTATTAGTTATGTTTCACTGGGGAAAGATACACCAGAACCAGAAAAATACACATTAATAATAGCCTCAAAAAGTCAATGAACTGGTTAGATTTATTTTATTAAGAAAATGAAAGCATCTAACATGTTTTCACATTTCTGTTTTAGCTTACTAAAACTTTATCAAGATAATTTTATCTTCTAGAAGAAACACATTACACACAATTATTTTTCATACAGCAGTAAATTCAATCCGCTAAGATACAATAACCAGTATAATTCTTTAACTCACAAATGTTTATTATATACCACAAGTAGCGGAAATATTCTTATTTCACTTTTCTATCTCCCAACTTTTTTTTTTTTAAAGATTTATTTTATTTATTTTAGAGAGTACGTGAGTGTGGAGAGGGGCAGTGGGAGAGGGACAGGCAGACTCTACGCTGTGCGCAGAGCCCAACACAGGGCTCGATCTCATGACCCTGAGATCATGACCTGAGCCAAAATCAAGAGTCGGATGCCCAAATGACTGAGTCACCCAGGCGCCCCTCTACCTCCCAAGTTTTAAGCGAGCTTAAGTATGTCATTTCAATTGTTTTTTTTAAAATACAGATTATAGAACATTTTCAAAAACAATACATTTCTTAATACAGAATACATTCATACATTTTCATAAATTCAAGCTGTATTATTAAAGTCAAACAGCAGTGCTTTTATACTGAAGGTCAATAAGGGATGGGGAGCTGAAAATTAATGCCTGCCAGAATTAACCAGTGTAAATCTGCTTAGCTTTGAAAACAGGGTAAGTGGAGAGCCACTCAGGTGCTAGGTTAAAAAAAAATTAGCTGACTCCTCAGAAAAAATTATATTCTGCATTCATCCTTTGTTTTAAAAATTGAAGCTGTAACAATTTTATTAACCAAACTCCAAATCTGGGCCTAATAGTAAGATAATGAAGTATTTGCACTTTAATAGTATTAAATCAGGTATAAAAGTGCTTGTATTAATTTGTTCTAAAACGATGTAATATCAGCCAACGGTGGGACCTGCTGAGTTTGCCAAAACCAGTGCTAAATGGGCTATCGGTTCCTTCCTAAGTAAGCTATGTGAGTACACCTCCTGAGCAGTGATAATGTAATAAGCATATGGGAACAGCTGCTCTCCTGAGGTAAACTCAAAATATCTCAGCCTTATGTCTTCCACTGAGCACTAAAACTGAACTTAAACTGACTTTCATACACATTCTATTTATGCCTTTGCTATTTGTACTGCAGTTTTGTGTGTGTGTGTATGTTTTTTACCAGTTATTGTAGGTCAAATTCTGAGCAAAATTAAGGTACTTGAAGTGCAAACTCTCAAAGCTCTACTTGATGACATAGTGTGCGTAAATTAACACAAAAGGAAGTTTACAAATCTTGCTTATTAGAATAAAAACATTAAAGTTTTATTATATATGTTTTAGACCAGAGGTAAGATAAAAAGTAGCTAGTACAAATTACAGACCAAAGAAATAGCTCCAATCTGCTGTCTGATTCTAATACTACTGCTCTGGATAAACAGGTAGGCAGAGAGAACTTGAATTTGCTTATTTTACTAACTGGAAGATCTGTTAAAGAGCTGCCTTACTCCGCAGCCTCCCTTCAGTCTCATTGCCAACATATGGCCACAGCCAATCCCTGAAAGAGTCAACGGTCTCGTTAGCCCACTGCCACAGCTCTAATCCATGGAGCAATGATTTAGTTGAATCTAATAAACATAGTAAATTTTAAGTTTCTCCTCTGTCTATATGAAAGGAAGTTCTTTGGAATATAAAAAAGGGTTCTAAATTATGCTAGAGAAATTACTTTTTTGCTGTTAATTGTGTGGGCTTTTGGTATTTATTTAGAAACTTCAAACACTGTATTGATAAAAAATAAAAAATTATACAAAACGATGAATTTTGTGATATACCCAGAGCTCCAACAGCAGGTCAATAGATGTCTATTTGAAGAATAATGTGGGCTTTTTGAAGTTAAAGATTTTTCTTATCCAATGTTCCTTCATAGTAATTTGTGAAATATAACTTTTCTTTCTTCAAAAAGAATTTTTCTTTTAATTTTTACTTAAATCCCCCAATGAATGCTAGGAACCCAGATAAGAACATGATTACATGCATGTAGATAATCTTTTGAGATAAACAGCACATCAGAGAACTACAATATTCAATTTGCTGTGCAAATACATAAATGTAACATAAATGTCAGATTCTTTGAGACACTCAGAGGAGAAAAAGTCACCTATAAAAGACATGAAAAAAAGTGGCTCTTCAAACAAACCCTGCCTCAGCGAAATGCCTCTTCCTCCACTCTCAGTCCCCAAACCCCAAACCCGCTTCTCCTCCTGAGTCTGGCACCACCAGGTGCTCAAGGAAGAAACCTAGGGGTCCTCCTTGACAGCTCCTCACCTTACCCATCCCAAATGTTTTGCTGTCCATTTTAAAAATTTTTTTCTGCCATAAAATCTAGCAGTACAGTATCCCAAATCCTGCTTCACCCTTGGATCACCGCCCCCCCCAACACTGTCGGGTCATTCCCATCTCCTATCTAGTTCTTACTCTGAGAAGCTTCTTTTAACCAATATACCGGGGTTAGTTGATCAGACCAGACTTCACAAGTGCCTCTTCAACTGGTCTTTATCTCCGACCGTAAGTTCTGTGAGAAGGGGACCGTTATCTGTTTTACATGCATCCTCGGCATCATGCCTGGCACATGGTGAGTACTCAAGAAAAACTTGTTAAACGAATAAAGGAAAAACTTAAATTATATATATATAAAAAAAAAAACCCTAACAAAACTTATTACCAATTATCATTCAAGGTCTACTACAATGAACTTTTGCCCATCCTAGGCAAGGGAGCCAGGCTGTGCAGTTTTGCCAGGGTACTCAGAGGTTAATGAAAGAAAGGCATCTTCCAGTGAAGTTACTCCTGCATTTAGTTTAATGGGCCATTAGTCTGAAGAACTCATGAGTGGCACGGATATAGAGATGGCAATCTTGTGGCATCATTCAATCTGCCAGGCAAAATCACGAACTTCTCCTCAGTTGTATAATTTTAATAGAATTTACATGCAGTGAATATGTAAGAAGGCTGTTTTACGCAAACTGTAGCTCATTAATACCTTTAATTTCTTTAAGCTAACAATTTGAAACTTGACTGAGTTTTAAGGTTCAATTTGAAAATGTTTGTTTTATGAACGTGGTTTAAAATATCCCGCGCAGTAGCAGAGGAAACAAAAAATTCAAAAAGGATAATACACTGACTTGTTCACATATCTGAACAAATTACTTTTTAGTCTGGCAAAGAATGTTGAGTTGTTAATTTGTATCCACAATATACATGCCATTTTATAAACTCTTGAAGCGATTTTGTTTTCTTCCACTTCATCAGTTTGAATTATTATAAGAGAAACAACCATTGCTATTATCAGAGATCCCAGTGAGTTTCCCTACTGACTTCAATTTTAATTGCACTTACAAGTATAAACAGCTCTGAGCACTAATTTGTTTCCTCAGCAGCTTTTGAAAGGGAATGAATCTAAATGTAATTAAATGAGTTGGTATTTTTGAGGAGCTGAGTTATAAGGAGTTTCCAAACCAGGTCAACAAAAATCGCATTACAACTTCCTTACTAATAAAGAAGGTGAAGGCCAATGTAATTGACATCCTAACTATTACGAAAACTTCTTTAAAACATACTTCAAAAATGTCCTTGTAAATTTTTTTTGTGATGAGGTCATTATTATTAGAGAACTAAGACTTTAATTGGCAACCATAATTGCTTTTATTAAAGTACTAGTTTCTTCTGGATAGAGGCCATTTAGAAATTTATATAGGCAGTATATTTCTATATGAACAGTGGTATTTTAAAAAGTTAAGCTGTTCCTATTCAATAGTTTTCTTTTTTATCTTTTCCCACTTTCATCTCTGATTCTGTTATACCATTCTCACATACTTTGAAAAACTTCCCACTAACCCATCTGGCATGCTATCCCCATTTCTATTCTTTAAGTCCCTCTTTAAGATCAATTTACTTTTAAGAAAACTTGGTTAAACCCACAGAAGAGCAAAAACCACTCAAATATAGATTTTTTTGTCTACCTACCACAGTGGCCCTTTTAAAGTAAGGATTACTTCCATGCTTATATTTAATCTGCCTTTTGTAGTAACATATTTTTTTTTTCCTAATAAGATGGTACTCTAAATGGCACTACAAAATGCGCACAAAACCCAAGGCTTAACAACTCCTATTACATGTCCCATCATCCTTGGATTTTACCCCCAGCCTCTTGAAGACCTTATCTGTGATTTGGTGGGAATGATGTAAGCTAAGCAATCTTTTCTTAATGGTCCACCAGCTGGTCCCGTCAAATAGCACACTTCTCAGCCGACTACACTGATGCTACATGGCTTTATGCTTCACACATTCTTGAATCCTATCATCTGGCTGCCTTATGCGTGCTTACTCTCTGTCAATTAGACTTCATTTTGAATTTGATTATTTCATTTCCCAATCAAAGGAGTGGC